TGAGAAGTGGCAAATGGCTGGAAAATATTTTTTTTTAGCATTTTGAGCTGTAGCCAATACAATTTACAGATCAATGATAAAACATTTTGTCTTTAAGCTGATCTAAATTAAAATTTTAAATTACATTAGTTTCCCAAGAGTACTTGAGCTAAGTCCCTTAAAACTCCAAGTGATAAATCCTCAAGCTTCAAACATGTAATATTTCCATGTTGCACTTAATTCCAAAATAACTAATGCAGAAGAAAAGGAGATTAGTCCTCAGAGGTGAACTAGTGCAGCTGCCTAAAAATGTAAACAAATGTAAATCTGTCAGACCACTGTGCTGGTACCACGACGTGCAGAAGCACTTGCCCCCAGCTAACATGTAAAAAGATCAATCCAAACCAAAATTTTAAATTCCCTTAGAAATCACACAGAAAGAAAATGCAGTTATCACTACATGCCAACTCCCACAAATTCTCCCTCAGCCTGGCAGTGAGCAGAGCAAAATCAAAAGGCAAAGAGCAGAGGGGCTGCACATCTCCCAGCCCAGTCCACCCACACATGCTGCCAATCACAACTGTCTTTCAAAATTAACCTCAGTAACAACAACAATCTTAGGATGTGATTACTACATTGAGCTCCAAAGATGGACTCACTTCCTATGCCCACTAGGCATCTACATTGGATGTTCTGGTACAGATATTTCTGAGATGGGAAAGGCAAACACCACCTGGATTGTCTCCACCATCCTTTCACATTCAGGCATCAAGGAGAGATAGGAGGAAAAGAGAAAGAAAAACACAAACAACAAACTAGAGAGGAAAGAGAAGTTACTCTGTACTGGAACATGTCTTTTTTATTTTGGCACTGGTAGTTTAGCACTGTCCAATACAGATATTTTATTATCTCAGATGCTTTGGTGCTTCTCAAATGTGAGTGGAGAATACACATGTGTGCATTTTTGTAAGGGAAGAATTGTGTAAGCATTGGTATAAAAAACAGCTGTATCACAGCTCCCTGCACCAGGCAGTGGACAGGCAACGCACTTTTTTCTCTGGAAGCATGATTATTGGCAGCATTAAAAGGTAACAAGGGCAGAGGTGGGAGCAGCACAGGCAGCAATGCCAAGGCAAAGTGAAAACTGATAGCATGGGATGCAGGAGTGGAGATTTCAGGGCCAGCCAGAAGGAATGCAGCGGATGCAGTACTGGAATTAAAGCACATGATTCACGTTCACACATGCTACCACCAGAGAACAGATAACAGTGATGTATCTCAGAGCCAGCACACAAAAAGCAGCCTCCCCAACCCCTTCATGGTGGAATTTAGAAGCCATCAGCTTAAACCAGAAATTCCGGAAATAAATTGAGCAAATTGAGAAGCAGACACGACAGTCACTTCTTCTGAGGCCACTTACTTCTGCCCCCAGTAGCAGTACTGTGCCTAATCTCTCCTCACTCTCCTATCACTGCCAGAAAGCTGTGATCATTATACATATTTCTGTTCATTCTTTATCTGTTGCCCTGCATGAATAAAGTTTGGTTTATGAGTTTATTTCTGGCCTGTTAACAGCTATATTCCTTCAGTTCTAATTTCGCAAATTGGATCCTGAAAATGCGAGGAGGATCCAATCAAGGCTTTGGTAAGTTAAGTATCCTTTGAGAAAACAACTGAGCATCATTATTTTGATTTTCCAACAATCCTTCCCACAAGTAAACTTTAGCTCCAGTTGGAGCTACTTACATGCTTGTTTCACTCCACTCCTATCCCTAAAGCTCATGAGTAAAGGAGCTTTCTTAAGTATGTGAATTCCTACAGTCACGGACCAGCAGGTAAACCTACTCATAACTTAGAGAAGAAACTGTGGCCCTGGTGTGAATCACTGCAGAGATGAAGCACCAGGTGTTCAAGAAGACAAGTGTTTCTAAGAAATCAATTCAGTGTTTTGCATTGTTCTTTCAAGCAAGAACACTGCGCATGTCATGTCTCTGAATACATGTCCTGCATTCTGGATTCACACAATGCACCTTGACCCTCCATGCTTCCCAAAACAGGGGCCATAGTACATGCCCAGCCCAGAAGGGAATGTATAACATTTGTATAAGGGGGAGGATGCTCCCCCTCAGCTGACAGCAAAGAAGTGGAAAACCACAGGGAAAGGTGGGTGAAGAAAAGCAAAGCATGCTCAGCTTTCAAAGGCACAGAACAGCCAGGATCACTGACCAAGCCCCTTAAAAAAAACCCAAAAAACTTCTGAGAGTTGTGAGCAAAAGCAATCAACAGTTCAATACAGGATACTCTGAATATTGCACTGGAAGTACATTGGAATCTAATTTACACTTTGCTGATCCAACGTACTTTTCCATTCACCTTCCAGCAAACACTTCCGAGGAGAAAGCCCTGAATATGAACTGTTAGAACAGTTTCTAAATCCTGTTAAAAAAACATACTGATTTAACAGCATGCTTCCCTTTTCACCATGTTCACTTTGATCCCAAAAATCTAGCAATACAGAAGAATGAAAAAAAAATCCAAAACAAAAAACCAACAAAACCCCTGTGCCTACATAACTTAAAAGAACCACTCAACTAAAGTACTCAAGCTGCGATTAATTCTCATCAGAAATATACATTCAACCCAATTTTTTAGTTTATAACATCAAACTAGGAATAGGGTTTCTCTTTCTAAGAGGTTCACTCAAAGTCCAGTACATCTTGCATGCAACTATGTCAGGGAGCGACCATTCAAACGGAGCACAGAGACCAGCTTACGAAACTCCACCTACAAGGTATCCCTACAGAAAACAGACAGACAAGGAAACAGTACAAGTTTCATTGTTGGCAAATGGCATTTGGTGGTGAAACCTGAAGGGATGCTTCTACTTCCTGCTCCCTCTAATCCCTAAATACCTCTTTGGAAAGCCCAGATCATTTGTCATTTTCTGACCTGTGAGAACCTAATCAGCTAGGTTAGGTCATACCTTGAACTGGGTTCCTGACATGGAGGGTGTAAACCTGGGGCCTTGGAAGGCGGGGTGCTGGGGGGGATGCTAATGGAGTCATCCCAAAATAGGCAGGACCTTAGACTTTTAAGGTCAAAACCCCTGTCCTGCGGTCACAATCAGACACCTGCCCCCAGGGAACCCCGTCTATTGTGAAGTTCACCACATCCCCTGGTCTTTGGATGCAGTCCCTCTGACCACAATTACCCTGTGGTAATTCAAATATATCTTTGGGCACTCCATCGTACCCATCCCCATTATTCCTCCATGCTCAAGCAGGCCATACCTCATGAGAGGTCTCAGAACCCCACTGCCACACTGTCCCAAAGGGCAGAGGGCATCACTATCAGGTATCACAAGAAGCAGCAAGGGCTTTGACCACTCACTCAGGGAAAAAGTGTTTCTGATCTTTTAATCAGAACTTCCCCTGGTGGAAACTAAGGCCATTTCCTCTAACCCGGAAAGGACTGCATGCTGATCCGTCGGGATTTCGTCCATGAGAATAGGAACAGGCAGGAGGTATTGCTCCCCTGACCCCAGGCACACTGCACGACTCTTTGACACACACAGCTCTTCCAAAACAAATGAAAGTCAGCTTTAAGACAGGAATAAGCTTTAAGACAGGAATAACAATCAGACAAAGATGAAGAAATGGCAGTAGGAAAGAAGAAGAAGAAATAAGAATAAAAATAGGAAAAAGAAGAAGAGGATAAAGAAGAAGAGGAAATAGAAGCAGCAGTAAGAAAGATTAAGAGGAAGAAGAGGAAGAAATTGTAGTAGTAAATAATAAGAAGAAGAAGTCTAAAAATAAGAAGGATATGAAAAATAAGAAGAAAAAGAAAAAGAAGAATAAGAAGAAAAATATGAATAAAATTATTAAGGTGAATTAAAAGAAAAAGAATAAAAAGAATAAAAAGAATAAAAAGAATAAATAGAATAAAAAGAATAAAAAGAATAAAAAGAATAGGAAGAGGTGGAAGAAGAGGAAGAAGAGGAGGAAGAGGAGGAAGAGGAGGAAGAGGAGGAAGAGGAGGAAGAGGAGGAAGAGGAGGAAGAGGAGGAAGAAGAGGAAGAAGAGGAAGAAGAGGAAGGACAGGAAGGACAGGAAGGACAGGAAGGACAGGAAGAAGAGGAAAACATTATACTAGTAGTAAATAATAAGTCTAGGAAGAAGAACTAGAAAATGTAAAGAACAAAATGAAATAACAGTATAGTAGAAAAATAAAATAGTTATAACGATAATAATATTAATAGTAATATCAAGTTGATACATACATCCACACATCATCTAGAATCATGGAATGCTTTGGCTTAGGAAGGGCCTTAAAGACCATCTGGTTCTTTACCTGATAACCTTCTGCTCTCTTGCTCTCTCTCTCTCTCTGAGACCTTTTTCCTGTTTCTTTCTACCTCTGTAAGTCACCTTTCTTTGCACATGACTAGAAGAGATGCAACAGATCCAGAGTCTGTTGCAGGAGACTGTCAAACTTGGCCCCTGCCATGGGAGGTACTTGGGCATTCCCGCCTGGCCCAAATGTGTATTATTCCACTGAACTGCAGGTTTTTGGGGCACCCTCAGCACCAAGAAGACCCGATGGACAGCATCAAGGGGACTCTACTGGCATGCACAGAGCAGTGAGGGTTTCTACTTAATCTGTCTCTGTTACTCTTTTTCTCTTTCTCTCTCTCTCTCTCTCTCATTTAGTGTTCATTAAAACCCATCCTACTGGCTTGGGAGTGTGATGTGGTTTGCACCTTAATTTGGGCAGAGGCATTTTGGATCATTTTAATAAGCAGATGATAACAAGGGGCTAGAAGCCCACAAGCCCAGGGGCTGCTCCATGACACCTGCAGCGGCTTTGACCGTTGAAGGGCTGCGGGTGTGGCCCTTGGCAACACAGGCGTGATGTGTCAGGGCCCTTGGCGATGTGGAACCTTGCGGTGCCCAGAGAGCCTTGTGACACGGCGGAGCCACGCCCTGCAGGGGTGTACAGGGGCTGTAGAACCTTGCAGTGGCCAGTCCCGTGAGAGCCACCGTGTCGCAAGGCAGCAACTCTCGGGATCTCGCGCGACAGAACGTCCGAGACACAGCAAGATAAGGTGGACCGCAACTCCGAGGCAAAGGAGGAAAAGGCACCAGCATCTTCTGGCCTAGGCGACAACATTCCGACAGCACAGACAGACAGGTCAGTCCGTGCCACATACACCCCATAGCAAGCAACCAAGCTCAGCTGGACTCAGCAGGGAACATCAGCTCTGAGACCATGAGCCAGGTTTGCCTCGAGACCCAGCAATCTGACCAGCACACACAGGAACAGAGGGACCTGGAGCAGAGCATGGCTGCACAAGAACATGCAGCAGCTCCAGGAGAAAGGGAATTGGTCCCGATCTCCTCCCCTGCTTCCAGCCAGGTTTGCCTCGAGACCCAGCAATCTGACCAGCACACACAGGAACAGAGGGACCTGGAGCAGAGCATGGCTGCACAAGAACATGCAGCAGCTGCAGGAGAAAGGGAATTGGTCCCGATCTCCTCCCCTGCTTCCAGCCCAAGCCGCAGCCAGGCTCAGCTGGACTCAGAAGAGAACATCAGCTCTGAGACCATGAGCCAGGTTTGCCTCGAGACCCAGCAATCTGACCAGCACACACAGGAACAGAGGGACCTGGAGCAGAGCATGGCTGCACAAGAACATGCAGCAGCTGCAGGAGAAAGGGAATTGGTCCCGATCTCTGCTCCACACAGTCCAAGCTGCTCCCCCAGCCCGGTATCCAGCCCACTGCAATCCCTTACCCTCAGCAAGCTTCTAGAGGAGGAGGAGGAGGCAGAGAGGGGCTCAGTCCGATCAGAGCAAGAGGGTGAGGAGGCTGTATTGGCTGGGGAGCTTGAGCTTTCCCAGTGTAAAGATAAGAAAGTGACAGAGCTGCTCCGAGGAGATGCAGGCAGCTACAAGGACATGTCCCAGGGGGAAGCCTGTGGTGAGCAAGACCTGTCCCAAGTAGAAACCAGCAGCAATCATGAGCTCTCAGACTGGGATGATTACAACGAGCAAGAGCTGTCCAAAGGAGAAGCCAGGAGCACCGACAAATTTTCTGACTGGGAAGAATGCCTGGAGCAAGAGCTGTCCCTCCGAGAAGTTGTTGGGTCGCCAGCACTCTCTGAATGGGAAGCGTACAGAGAGCAAGAGCTATCACAAGAAGATCTAGGTAGCTACCAAGAACCATCGGACTGGGAGGAGTCCATTGACCAACAATGTGCCAGAGAGGAAGACTTCAGCAGCCTGGAGGTGCCCGAAGAGAACGGTAATCTACCCTCCACACAGTCAAGCTTTGAAGATTACCGTGACAGAGAGCTCAAGCAGGGCAACTGGCACAGTACGAGCGCACACAGCATCACGGTCAAGCCCCTCCTGCCCGAGGACGACGACGGGGATGGAGTGAGCCTCCTGGAGCTCCATGAACAAGCCAGCGAGCGAACACAAGGAGGCTTTGCAGGAGAAGAGCTCCCAGTGCCCAAGCCTCGGGAGGCCTGGGGTGAGTGCCAGCCAGGCCCCCATAGGAAACGACCCTCACGCGTGAGGCGGGCACTGCGGGCTCTGCGCAGACTGTGCTGCTGTCCCTGCCTCGCACCACAGCTCGAGGACTAGTGCCCGCTGCTGCCACCAGCACAGGCCCCACAGATGACACCTGGCCTGCAGCCTACCCACCATCCTGAGGCTTTAAGATAGCAATAACTATCCAAAGAAGATGAAGAAATGGCAGTCGTAAAGAAGAAATAAGACTAAAAACTGGAAGAAGAAGAAGACAATAAAGAAGAAGAAGAAATAGCAGTAGCAGTAAGAAAAACTAAGAAAATTAAGAGGATTAAGAAGAGTAAGATTAGTAAGAGGAAGAAATTGTTCTAGTAGTACATAGTAAGTCTAGGAATAAGAAGAATAAGATAGATAAGAAAGATAAGATAAATAAGAAGAGTAAGAAGAGTAAGTAGAAGAAATTGTAGTAAAATAGTAAATAATAAGAAGAATAAGTCAAGGAATATAAGGATAAGAAAGATATGAAGATAAAAGAGAATAAGAAGAATAAGACAAATAAGAAGAGTAAGATAAGTAAGAGGAAGAAATTGTAGTAGTAGTAGTAGTAAGTAAGAATAATAAGTCAAGAAATAAGAAAGATAAGATACAAAGAAGAAGAGAATAAGAAGAATAAGACAAATTAGAAGAGTAAGATNGACAGAAATAATGCAGCAATAAAAACCCCACAGGTTAATGTTTTATTTTGGGTTAGCACAAGGGGGAGAAGTACAGGATTACTGCTCATTATATAGTACCAGTACAGCGTTGCTATGAAAGAGCAGGGTTCAACAAAGGAATGATACATTCTCCAAAAATAGTTAATGGGTACTTTTTACTGTAAGGATATGCTTCCTACAGCACCTAACAGAAGAACTGCACTATAATTTAGATTATTATTCTATACTTTAATAGACTCTCTTACCCATCTGCCAAAATATGCAGATAAATGATTTTTTTTAAAAATTGCTCCCAGAACAGCAGTAAGATTTGACCCTGCTCACTCACAGAAACTAAAAGTACAACACATGAACAACAAAAAAGCACTTCTGAAGTAAGTGTTGCTAGCAGAAAAACACAACAGATGCAGATACCATTTAGAAATGGTCCATATGATCCACAATGTGATTTTCTATATTAAAGTACAGTTTTATACCAATTCTGCAGAGAAGTATGATTTGTAATAGCAGTTAATTTTTTTCAGTTTGCTCATATTTCAAAATGTTCCACTAAAAATCACAGCTCCTAAGTTTATAGTTGACTGGGGCTGAAAAATTCAGTGGGAGTTATGTGTCATTAATATCACAATAAAAAGGACATGCATTAATATGTCTAATTATTGAAAATGTTTATATTAAACCAATGTTTTTTTGGTTTCTCTACAAATAAAATTATATGCTGAGAGCTGTAAAACAAAGGCTGAAATCCACAATTACTCAACAATAAATACCCCATCAGGTGCAAGGGTGGTGAAAAGCATCCAGAACCTTCACATCCATAGAAAAATAGCAAGAAATTATCCTTAGCTTGTGCAAGATGATAGAATGCAATTCCCATTATACTTCCCCAGACACAGGTTGCATCAATCCACTGTTCAAGAGCCCTTCAAAAGTTCTTCCGAGCTTAGATGAAATTAAAACTGAAACCAACAAGGAGAGCCAAACACGATGAGGTCCACAGAGCCTGGTAACCACTCGGAGAGTTTGCTTACTAGCCAGTTAAAGCTGGCAAACACTGACCTGAGGGGCATTCAAGAAAACAAATAGTTTAGATTATGTTATATGTAAAGCACTAAATATGATACCTTGACTTGCTCTTCCATTATCATTCTCCCTACTGGCTATTTATTACACACTGTTCATTTTCCTGGAATAAATGTTGAAATAAAAAGCCTTTAGTTACTCCATTTCTGATATCACTTTTATGTAAAACATGCACCTTTTTAAGGTGCCAAAAAGAAAACAAATAGGACTTGGATTCCAACATTTTACTAAATAAATTCAATCCTAATGCCAGACTTATTTTTTTTTAGTCAAAATTTGAAGGAAAACAAACATCAAACACTGGCATACATTCATGAAAAATGCTATAGTGAATTTTTGTTTTTAGTTTATCAATCAATAAATTCCATTCTATGTTCTCTGTCAATAATGTACAAAAGTCAAAAGAATACATCATCTTTGAGAACAGGACTTTGTGTGTGTGGAATAAGACTAGCTTCCTCCTGTACTTCTCTAAGTCCTCGTGTATTTGGCTTCATCCCGTAAGGAATCTCTCAGAGTTCATTTTAAGTCCACCTTCTCTAATAATAAATCCAGTACTTGGAAATCTGCAGCAATACATTTTGGCATGAGTACATGATTAGCTACATTTTTGCACACTGCTGTATTATGACCTTTTCAATACTATAGTTATCAAACACTTTTTAAAAACCTTGGACTTGACATACATGCCAAGTATGCTGATCACCTCATGAAAACATACTAAGATGGAACCTTATTTTTCTCCTTTCATATACTCCAGTCTTCCAAAAGCAAAATTTCAGTCATTTTTGGATTTAGCAAAACCATAGAAACACTGAAGCACCCAAGATGAAAAACATTAGAACAACAGACTTTCACCTCCAGGTCTGGAACACCTGGTGGTCTGTGAACTACTCTTTAGCCTGCAAAAACAAATTATGAAAATCAGAAAGTGTTAATGTGCCAGGAAGTGTTCACTGACAGGAAGTCTGTATTTTCACTAGCACACTCCAAAGGTCTCTGCAAATCAAAGAAAGTGAAAAAATATTGTAAAAGGCTATGACAAAATGTTTGTATAGAAAGGCCTTGCAACTTTGTGTTTACATCATGTTTAAAAAAAAAATGGTCTAGTTTTCTACTTTCTAATGAATAACCTAACCTGGAAAATCCTGGCAGAACCCATTGCAGCTCAGCTTAGAAATGAAGATACCAGAAGCACAGTTATATTTGCTCCTCAATAACTGGAACTGCTGTCACACCAGTGTAACTCTAACTTCACCTCAGCACTAATGGGGTACAGACACGGATTGCTGAGGACAGAACCCTAGGGCAGAGCCTGTGAAACTACCAAGGTATCTGTTTCACCTACTGACTCTCTTGGACAAGTAAAGCTTTAATATAAAATTACTTGATAGCATGTTTGCATCTCCACATAAATGTCCAAATTATATTACTTAGCATTCCAAGGCAAGCCAATTTTTCACAGCGTCTGTAACAGATTATTAAGAGACTAAATGTCCATGCAAGTGACTTCAGAAATCTGTAAAACACAGAACAGAAACCTACATTCTTCAATTCCAGTTCTACATTTTATTCAGCAGGGACATCACCTTTTACATTCCTAAAACCACAATTTGAAAAGCACCACCTGCCCCAATATGTCAGAAATTTGGTCCCTGTATTTCTTATCTGCCCAACCATTTCCATCTTCAGGCTGGTCACAATGCTTGCAGAATTCAAATTGTGTAAGATAAATACAAAATGCATCCCGAAAAAAGTACAGAGGAATTTCAGTCATTATTTCCAAACCAATATCTTTTATTCCCTGCTGATTTCAAGTAATGAACCCTTTAAGAAAATTTGTAAGATCTCTTTTAAGATCTGTGAGGAAAATTTAGGAAATATTAACCAGAAAAAAGCAAAACATGTCTCCAAGACAGTTCTTCAGAGTCCACTTCCAGCAGAGATTGTGTAAAGAGATGAAAAATTGTCTAAGAGTATGAACATCATATGAACAGGAGAAGCAAAAACCCAAGATTTTTTTCAGAAGTTGCAGTAATATAGTTGAAGAGAGTATTTACCATCAGGGCTGATATGAGCATAAAATTAAATTCAACTGATGAGAAACTTTAAAGAAGAGTCTGCTGAAAACGAATACAGAATGTTTTTTATTTATAAGGTTATAATTAGCTGTTCAAAAATAAGTCTTCGCAAGATGCTGCTTCATGCTTGGCATTATAGTGAAGCCCACAGTCTACATAAATGATGTCATAGGCACAAACAAGCCCAAAGAAACTCTAATTTGGGCCTCAAGAAGACTTCCTAGGTCAGCAAGCAGCAGTAACAGCTAAGCTGTTTTTCAGAAATAAACTGTTCTCTTGGCCATATGTATGCAAAGATGTTTTATACATAAAATACAGTTAATACGTGTTCTAGGTAACAAAGAGCCCAGCACCAGCTCCAGTCTGCACACGTGGCACTCCCAGGACACTCTCAGTACAAGTCTGAACAGTACTTTGGAAACAGACTCATTCAAAATGTAGTTTTTGTGAGCTGGAATGTCTTGCTCTGGTTTCTCTTCAGAGTAGTAAGACACAAGTAAATCAGGCATTTGTCTGGACAAGAACAGTACCACAGAGAGGAAGACTGACTGAAGGACAGTTATCCCAAATTGTAGCACTCTGCCTGAAAAATAAAAACCACTTTTTCTAGTAATACACCCTCACATAACTACAAAATGAATACCAGACAAAAAGTAAGGGGACAAGTTTACCAAAGACCGTAACTGATTTGGAAACACTGTACATAATTTTTCAGCAAAATCACCAGTGAATGGCAGCTAAAACAACTGCCTTCCTGTTGCTGTCAGACACAAGACTTGGCTCATCTCTAGTTTGCCCTAACAAGCACCCCATGTTTTACTTGAACTGGCTGGTTTTCACATTTGAAGGCAAACAAAACAATGACCAAACATCTCCCAGATAAATCCCATGTGAAGCCAAGACAAGAATATTTATGGAGAGGAGATAATGCCAACATCAGGACATATGTCCCAACAGCTCATGGACTGAGACCAATTTTTTATTTTAATTCATAGAATCATTAATGTTGGAAAAGACTTCCAAGACCATTGAGTCCAAACTTTGACTGAACACTGTCTTGTCAACTAAACTAGCTCTAAATGCCACATCCAGTCATTTCTTGAACATCTCCAGGGATGGTGACTCCACCATCCCCCAGGGAAACTCATTCCAATTCTTTCAGTGAAAGAATTCACCCAAAGATCCAACCTGAACATTTCCTATTGCAGCTTGAAGCCATTTCCTCTTGTCCTGTTGCTGGTTGCCTGGGAGAAGAGGCCAACCCCTACCTGGCTCCAACCTCCTTTCGGGGAACTACAGAGTGTGATAAGGTCACCACTGAGCTTCCTTTTCTCCAGGCTAAACACTTCCAGCTCCCTCAGCTGTTCCTATATGAC